TAACAATAATAACAATAATAATAATAAATCAAGCTTTTTTAAAAAAGAAAAATCAACCATATTAGGAAGGATGCATATCAATACCTAAGCTATTTATAGTGTTACAGACATTTTTTTTTAAAAAAAACAAATCCTTGCAAAAAGACTTATGCGTTGGAAAGCTCGTTTTCCAACCCTCCTCTCTCTCTTTTAATCAAGACAGATATTATTGCAAAGTTGGACTAAAATGATCCCCCTGCTCTTACAGTGAAAACTGCGAACTCTTGAACACTTCATAGCAGTTTACTTTATTGCCAGTCATTTTCTGCTTTATCACTTAAGTTGCTACTGCGCCATCAGACTCTTGCCATCTGTTATTTAGCCTTGCTGCGAAAGGTAGTTGGAGAATACAAAAATGGGGGGGGGGGGGGGGTGGGGGGGGGCTTCTATTAAAAACTTTGTAATACTCAAATGCCTTACAGGAAAAAAAGAGCCTATTTTAATATTTATTGTGATCTCTCTTTATTCACAGGAGCTGTGAATTGCAGGTGAAAATATAATAATATCTGCCTTGTCTAATACTCAAACCTAAATTATTGTATGTTGGGGGGAGTTCTGAATTGCTTTCAACATGCAAAAGTAATATTGGCTTTAAGGACAGTGCAATATTCAAGTCAATGCACTGTATTTTTCTTATTGCAATTGTTACTCTTTTAAGATTATCTCAAAGTTTTAGGTATATTTTTAAAGCAAGAAAAGCAAGAAAAAATATTGAACATATTGTCTACTTTAATAGATCTTTTGTTTATGATGCTGCAGGTCTAGAGAAATTTTACAGTATTTATATAAAAGCTAAGCGGGGTCTTAGACCAGCACTGTTTAGGAGAACGTCAGGAATAAATCAGAGTTCTAATATGGTGTTACACACTTGAACAAGAGAGTTGAAAAAGTTACATTTTGACACCCAGTGGTACAAAGTGCTGATTAGGTAAAAGGCAGTGTAAGAAGTGCATTTTGACAAAGAAGAGCAATAAACTATTTTGAATTTTAAGACACCGTTGTGTTGTGCTTGGTTACCTTATGAGAGACTGGGAGATAGCTGTGGGTTGCTACATCATTGTATAGGATGTCCTGATGTGTTTGGATTAGAATGCTCTAGTTTCTGACTCCTGGACTATGTTAGGAGCTAAAGTAGAAGACTTTACTAAAAGTCAGCCTTTGTGGACCCTGCTGGGTGTAGCAGTGACATTGTTCACTCTTTTTACAGGGGGTGGGGGAGTTGGCCTTAAGCAGAACAGGCCCACTGGACCTATCTGAAGCCTAACACATCTGCCCTGTTCAACCAAAATGAAGACAGGCCAACCAAGGAAAGTCAGAGAGAAAAAATACCTGTCTCCATTATGGAATTCTCCAAGAATGGAAGAAGATTCATTTTAAAGTTACTTGATTTATATCTTACCTTTCCTCCGAAAGCTCAAGGTGGGGAATCTCCTTTTTATCCCAACAACAACCCTGTGAAGTAGAGAGAAAGAACGAGAGAAAGAGAGAACAACTTGCTCAAAGTCACCCAAGAAGCTTCCATGGCTGAGGATGTACTTGAACCTTTTCCCCAGTCTTAGTCCAATACCTCGACAACTACACCATTCAATCAATCAATCAATCAGTCAATCAATCAATGAGGGGAAAGCATCAATTTCCTTTCAGATAGAGAAAAACTGAAAAAGGCACCACTAATTTTTTGCATTCTGCCAGCAGATTTATATTGCATTATTGGGGATTGCTGCCAGGGCAGGAAGGAAGAGAACAAACCATGACTTAGTGTAATATGTGAGTAATTTACGATATAAGCAGATTGGCCCCAGATAGTATGCAACAGGCTACACATGAATCCCAAAGAGTGCAAGTAATATATTCCTGACAGGATATATCTGGCTGAGCTAGGAGGAGCTTCCTGCACAGTCTTGCCCAGATCCAGATATTGCAGAAAACCATAATGTTGTGGTTTTACTTTAGTGCAGCGTTTCTTAACCTTGGCGACTTTAAAGTGAATGGACTTCAACTTCCAGAATTCCCCAGCCAGCATAGTGCTTTAGTGTGTTATCTGAAACTAGCCACAGTCAATATGTGGTAGTAGTCATGATTTATGACTTTGCGCAGGAAAACAACTAGAGGTCCCAGATGGGCATCTGCTTGGTGGTGAACACCATCTTGGCTTTTTTGACACCCACCCCTAAAGACACCTCTGGCCCCCAGGCTTCATGTGGCCCTCAGTTATCCAACTGTAATTTTCAGTATGGCAGAGGATGAACATTGTTAAATACATGAGTGGAGAGTAATCATATTAATATATTCAATGTTAAAATCAGTGGAATTGAATTTAATTTTCTCGTTGACTCACCTACTGCTTTTGGAAATACGTTCCTTAGTACATCATACCAAACCCCAACTTAGAAAAAGTGTATTACTTCTGATTTAGGGTGTAGTACAAATTCAGCTAATGATTTACTGTTTGGTATGCCTTGGTGGCTGCCTAACTCATTGTAAACCAATTTATGAGAATATGCTTTATGCTACCTTCAGTTAACTTGGCAGGAGGGCAGACTACAAACTAGGGGCAACATGAAAATTATTCCCCAGCACTGGGGAGCCCAATCATTCAAATCCCCAGAAATGTTTGGTCACAACCATCCTGTGAAGTAGGTTGGGGCAAGGGAAAGCAAGTAGCCCAAAGTGCTCACTAAGTTTCTGGGGCTGAAGCTGAATTTGAATGTAGGTCTCCCCAAATCCTAGTCTACTTAACCACTATGCTATTCTGGATCTTATGTATACGACTGGCTTTAAAGATCCAACCACCCTCTTAAATTGGGTGCAGAAATATACCAGCGATTGGAACAGTAACAGCACATCGGTAACCGAAGGGCTGTAAACTTAACCCCACCTATAAAAGATTTTAAAAATAATCTTTTCATAGCTTGGTTGGGCTTCAGTGAATCTGGGGGGAAGGCGCTTTTACAAGTGGAGAGCACTCAAGAAGGAAATTTCTCCATGCGCTTTGTGTGCTGGGATATTTTGATGGATGGATTTGTCAAAAGACCATTCATGATGAACAGGAAGATTATACTGGAATGAAGAGAACAATGTAGAAGGAATGCTTATCAGGCAGTAACAGGGCATTCTGGCAAGGGCAACTCTAGCCTGAGATGGTTGGCAAGTGAGCAAGCTACTGGCTGCAGAGGAGCTGTTGATCAGCATAGTTTCGAGTCATAGCTTTTCAACAATTCTGTGGAACAGAAACTCCCAGCACAGCCTGAGCTGGCAAACGAAATGTGCTTCCCGTAAATGTCTTTTATCAAGGTAAAGTCTCCAAATCATGCTCAACTTCTGGTGACTTTAAAGGCACAATCATGCAATTTTCTTCCAATGATGTGATTTCTCATGGCCATGCTTCTCAGCCTGCAGTCCTAGGATGACCTGATAGTCTTCCATCTAAGTACTAACCCTGCATAGCTTCTAAGCTCATTCAAGGCTGTCCAGGTGCTACCACATGATGAGACCATAATCTTTTATAGTGGGATCTCAAAATAAACATTACTGGATTTGCCTAATTGACACAAAGCTTGGGGGGTGGGATTGCTAACACTCCAAAAGAGAGGCTCAAGATTCAGAAAGATCTTGATAGACTTGAACACTGGGCCCTATCCAATAAAATATTGTTCAGTGATGAGAAATGTAAGGTTCTGCATTTAGGCAGGAAAAAAACAAATGGGCATGTACAAGAAAACATACCTGGTTTAGCAGTAGCATTTGTAAAAAGGATCTGTGTGTTTTGGTAGACCATAGATTAGGCATGAGCCAGCAATGTGCCGCAGTTGCCAAAAGATCCAATGCAGTTTGCATCAATAGAGGTATAGTGTCAAGATCATGGGTGTGCTCACTTCGGCAGCACATATAGTAAAAAAGTGGAATGGTCCTGGGAAGTGATAGTATTGCTCTAGACTGCACTGGTCAAATCACACCTGGAATATTGTGTCCAGTTCTGGTCACCACAATACAAAAAGGACAATGAGGAGCTGGAAAGAGTGCAGAGAACAGTGACAAAGATGGTAAGGGGTTTGGAGGTTAAATCCTACCAAGGGCAACTGAAGGAACTTTGCATGTTTAGTCTAAAGAAGAAAAGGAAGACATGATGGCATCCTTCCAATATATGAAGAGATACCACAGGGAAGAGGGTGTCCATAGTGTTGGAGGGTAAGACCAGAAGCAATGGGCGGAAGCTCTGCAGTGAGAGATCCACATTCGAAATAAGGAGGAATGTCTTGTCTATTAAACAGTGGAACAGGCAGCCTCCTGAAGTTGTGGGTGCCCCATCAGTGGATGTTTTCAAGAAAAGATTGGACAGCCATTTGTCTGGGATGGTACAAAGATACCTGCACTGGGCTGGGGTTGGACTAAAAAACCTCCAAGATCCCTTCCAACCAGTGTTTCTCAACCTTGGCAACTTTAACATGTTTAACATGTCCAACTTTAACAAGGATGAGAAACACTGCTTCCAGCCCTATGATTTTATGATTCTATGACTTATGGCTACCTTATAAATAAAAGTGCATTCATCCAGAAGAATGTTTCTCAAATTCTCTTTTGTCATGAAGGAATTTTTGAAGTCCACTCTCTTCCATATACTGAATGAAATCTTATTAAAAAAAAATGTGAAAGAATTTCTATGACCAGCACCAAAGCTTGTGGTGTTAGCAGAGAGAAAATGCTAACAAAATTCCCTCCCTTCCTCCCTGCCCTCCTTGTATCCTA